TTCGATTGGCAATTCTCATCCATAACGGGATTAAAAGTTGATGATGAAAATGAATCAATTTACGTTGAATTAACCGGTAGTTTCCGTTGGTATTTTGGAGAAAGAGGACGTCATAATTAGATGTGAAGTTGTTACACGTGGAACGTTGTTTCTTAATCGCTCTTCAATTGGAAATTTTTATTAATGGAATGAAGATGAATCAATCTTTGTCGGGTCAATTGAGTGTAGAGTGTAAAGTCGGCAGTTATTTTTTTTTTCTATTTATTTATTTTTTTTCATCAACCATTTCTCATTTTTAAATTGGAAATTTCGATGATCGACGAAAATGAATGAAAACGGATTAATTTGAGTTGCAGCGGTCGATGTAGAAACAGCAGTGGGATTTAGGAAAAGGCGAGCGTTACGATTATTAAATATTTCAATTGCGCAATATCAAGGGGAAGACGATAATATTTTAAGAGAGATTGCTGGAAATAATCCACGACAGCCAGTAAGAGGAGCGACGTTTCAAACGAAACTTCGTAAGCTATTCCACGATTATTCGTCACTCGCGGTGCGAAGTGAGAAAAATAAAGAAGATGAATAAATGGGTTTCGCATGTAAAGCGACACGCAGAAGACGAATAGCCACATCGTTTCGAATGCCGTATCTATCTGGACGACATTTCAACGAATAAATTATGTCCGAGCGAAGAAACTATAAAAGGAAAACGTTCGAAGAATGTTTGAATAATATCATTTCACCAATGTTTCAGTTAAATTGTTTGACTCGATCATTTAAAGTAACGACGTTTCGCACGCATCACGCCTATGAAATTGAAATACCTGCAGCACGTAATACAATATAAATGTAGTTTCAACGTCGGTCGAATTTGATTCGATGTAATAGTAAAACAGTAGCAACGGCCGCGTAATATCAAAATGTAAGTTCCGTCGGGGATTATTGAATGGTCCGCAGCCGCCTCGGATTTGCACCATAAGCGAGTCTACTCTGTAAGCCATACGGCACCAATTTCCCGAATCCATATTTGCCACCTATAGCGCAGAATGTTTCGCCGAAGTCAATCTGCAGCACTTCGTAAAATTTCTATGTTGCATTTGCATTTGCAAAGGAATAGTATACCTATTCTAATTTAGTTCAGAACCGTTTGCACCGTTCCATTTTATTCTTCTCTTATCTTTCTCATGCTAGAATCTCAACAAATCTTTCCGTGGATGGATAGATAAACAGGCATGCAATTATAGTTAGATAATAACATCTTAAATAGTTGTTAAATTGTAGTTAAGTTACAGCAGTTTATTATTATCCACGAGGACCACGAAAATTATGCGAAACTTTCACGATGTCTCTGTTGGAATATTCTCGTCGATCCATGTCTGTCTAAAGCAACGAAATATTCAACGTTTAAAATTCAGTATCAACAGCAACACATTCGATATCGCCTGTATCCTGCTCGCTTTCAAGCAACCTCGCGAACTATGTTGTCTTCGCATAAAAGCTTAATTCAACGGCTGCGGCGGAGCAAGCAGGAGGTTTTAATAATCGGCAGACCGGTTTGCGCGGAGGATCGACCAGAAATTGGCGATAAATACGCGCGAACAAGGCCGGGGGATAAAGCGAAGAAACAGGCGCGCGTAAGAAGCACGGAATTGAATCCGCCGCGGATCGCAACACCTGGTTTTTCCGCGTCGCCTCGCGACCTAGAAAATCGCATTGCAAAACACAAAGACATTGCATCTGCATACGGCTCGAGAGACAAAAAAATTCCAACGGGGAGATCCTGGATAATCGAGAGTGTACAGCTCCGACCGAGATTATGCGACCG